CTAATTTTTACAATATTGAAAATTATAAACTCAACTATTTATCAATAAAAAACATAATTCTTATTAGTGTGAAACTTTCCAACTTGCTAAACATACTCAACAAGAACACCAAAGCCCAAAATACAAACCAAAACACACATTCCTCCATGGTTCATAGTGATATTTGAGACCTTCAAAAATAAAAAATATAAATGAGGCTAGGTTGTTGTTACTTTCATTGATGATCATACCATAACCACTTGGTCCTTTCTCATGAAAGAAAAATCTAAAGTTATCAAGATATTTGAAACCTTCCAAAATTTTATCCTCACCCAATTTCAAAGCAAAATTTAAATTATCAAAACTGATAATGCAAAAGGCTACTACAACTCCGCTATTAGCCCTTATCTATTCGAACATGACATCATTCATATATATAAGCTCTTATGTTGATACACCTTAACAAAATGGTGTGTCCAAGAGAAAGAACAACCATCTCTTTAAAGTGACCAATTAAATTTTATTCACTCGTAATGTACCCAAACACTTTTAAGGGATGCAATTCTGACATCCACTTATCTCATTAATAGAATGCTCAACAGAATACTAAACTTTAACAAACCTCTTAACACTCATAAAATCCTACCCACATACTCAATTATTCGCCTCTAACCTATCATTACAAATTTTTGGTTGCATTTTTTTTGTTCATCTACATCAATCATATCAAACCAAACTTGATCACACGTCAATCAAATGCATATTATTTGGATACACTTTAAACAAAAAGAATATAAATATTACTCTCCATAAACACAAAAAATTTACAAGTCCAAGAATGTAACCTTCTTTTAAAACCAACCTTATTACCTCAAATCTAATATTCGAGGGGAGAGATGGAGACAATATTAGAATTAGGGTACCATTCAGAAACCTCAAGCTTACCTTTCTTATAATCCTTGTGAACTCACTCATCCCCATTATCATAAAATTACCTGAAAATTAATATATTATTCCACTAAATCCTCCCACAGCTCCTACCAAGAACCAAGAACTCCATGTGTAAACCAAAAAGAAAAAAACCTAGTGAGCATGTAAAGGATAATATGCAATGAAAATCATCAGAGCCAACTTTGCACACGTCAAGCATTCACACAGAGGTTGAGTCAACACATAACGAATACCAAGAGGAAGAAGAAACACAAGAATGCACTAAACAATAGTTCGAAGAATTTGTGACCTATATAAAATTTTCATCTTCTTATCTATCATTTCTCCATCTAAAGGCCTTTTCTATTCCTGCTTTGAAAAAGGTCATGGAAGAAGAGATTCTTTCCCTTGAAAAGAATGATACATGGATTATAACAACTCCACCACCTGCGAAAAAAAACTATAAGGTGCAAATGAGTATTCACTGGTAAAAGGGTTCACTTAGTTTTATGTGATTGACTATCAGGAGACATTTGCACTAGTGATGAAACTCAACACAGTAAGAGTATTACAGTTATTGGTTGTCAACCAGGACTCACCTTTACATCAATCAAACATTAAAAATACATTTATTAATGGGGATATTGAGGAAGAAGTATATATGGACATATACCTCTAAGATTAAATATTACAAATAATCAGTTGGTGTGCAAACTAAAGTAATCATTGTATGGATTGAAACAATCTCTCAGAGCATGGTTTGAAAGATTCATCAGATTATTCTTACACTCAATGGGTACTATCAGTGTCAGGCTAATCACACGTTATTTAAGGTATGATAGGGATCCTTACTATACATGTAAATGACATTATTCTTACACTCAATGACATAAGAGAGCTTGAATTAATCAAAAGAATAATGAATTATGAGTTTGAGATCAAAGCTCTTGAAACTTTAAAATATTTCTTAGGGACGGAAGTAGCTAGATCCAAAGAAGGCATTGGCATATCCCAGAGAAAATATATCCTTGACTTATTGAAGGAGACATGAATGTTAGGATGCAAACAAACAGATATACTTATAGATCCTAGTTGACGATCATTAAAAGAAAATGATAACATTCCAGTTGAAAAGGGATGTATCAAAGATTCATGGGGAAACTCTATTAATTGTCACATACAAGAACTGACATTGCTCTTTTTGAGGGTGTAGTGAGCGAACATATGAACGATTCAAATGAAGAACATTTATAAGTGGTCTTTCGAATCCTAAGGTACCTAAAGATGACTCCAGATATTCAAAAAGGTGAAAACAATGATATTGAGATCTAAACTAATGCTAGCTAGTTATAAAAATCAACTAATTGAAGATCTACCCAGCTTACCATTCATTTGTATGCAGTAATCATGTTACTTGGAGGGAAAAAAAAACTATGGTGCAAGAGATGGTGCAGAAGCTAAGTAGCATGCCCAGGCCCAAGAAATTTATGAAGGGATGTAGCTAAAAAACTACTTGTTGAACTTCTCATGAGAACCAAAGCACTACTAAGATGTTTAATAATAGTCAATCAACAAGCAATATTTCAAAGAATCTGGTACATCGTGATCAAACTAAACATGTAGAGATTGGCAGCCTCTTCATCTCCAAGTAAGTTAATGGAGGAATTACTTAGTTATGTTATATCCCAACTTAGTATCGGATTACTGACATTCTTACTAAGGCCATAACTTCAATAATCTCTCAAAGAATCTGGTACATCGTGATCAAACTAAACATATAGAGATTGGCAGCCTCTTCATCTCCAAGGAAGTTAATGGAGGAATTATTTAGTTATGTTATATCCCAACTTAATATCGGATTACTGACATTCTTACTAAGGTCATAACTTCAATAATCTTAGTAGCAAGTTTGAGATGCATGATATACACAACCCAGCTTGAGGAGGAGTGCAATAATCTTAGTAGCAAGTTTGAGATGCATGATATACACAACCCAGGTTGAGGAGTATTGATATGTATTCATCCATGGACCACATAGGCCCACCCATGGTTTAGAAAATGATGGGCTAGCTGCTACATTTGAGGGAGAGAATTACCCTCCCTTAATTATCCATTAATATGCCCTATTTATTTCCTTCATATCATGTTTTTTTTTTTTTAAATTTCCCTCCAATTTATTAGGGTTAGTATGAACTGTATATATACTAATTATTTGATTCAATTATTATGAATGAAATTTTGAGTTTTTTCTCTAAAAAATTTCCTCCAAAATTCCACAAAAAAATGCTAACAATTCGCCATCTACAAAAATACCACCGTCCATATAATCTGACGTAACAAAGTATTCTCCTCATGGGTGTCGTGTTATTCATTGCATGTTTCCATGCGAAAAGGTAGACAACACTATACTAACCATCCAATTCAGTTTTATGTCTTTTAACAATCTATTTAATGGCTTCAATGTTTTTCCATATCTATTTCTTGTCTCTATCCCTAATGATATATTATGAGGCCTTACAAAATATTCAGTGAAAAATTCATCATGACCAATGGTTATAAAACCCCTAAATCAAAGTGTGAAGTTATTGTCACCGATTTTAAGATAGCATTACAGCACTCACAACTACCCGAGAAAACTAACCTTAGTTTCTAAAGTTGACCACACATGCTATAGATGTTCGCTTCATAAAAGCGACTAACCGGTTTTAGGTCTTACCTCAATCATAGAACTTCGATCAATCCAAACAATCGAACACATTCATGTAGGATCAATGAAGGTTTGCTGAGAACTGACAGCTTATAAGCTGGCGTCCCTGACGTCCCTAAAATCTCACTCCTAATAACCACCACTTTTAATCTGAAGCAGGGATTTTCATTGAGGTCATTCAAGGCAATGGGAGTCTGAAGAATCTAGTGAGGGATGTGCAGAACCCCTCCCAAGAGCTGAATCATGTACATAAAGCCCCACAAAATGCCGCTAGTGCCATTTAGTGGGTATTGCGTTGAATCAGAGGTAATGTGATGCTTCCATGTGGCACAGGACATTCCAGGTGGTTAGGGGAGCAGATTTGAATCATGCACAGCTCATTAAGCAATTTTATCTCTCCCATAAATCACTAATCTGTCAAGATGAAGCTTATACCTGTAGTTTAAACAATTTCTTTACCATGCATTCCTGATGGGGAATATTTGAATGGAAGTAAAACAAAATTCAGAAATTTTGCTACTTGAACAGTGGCCTCCTGAGACTGCAATCTATACAACTCATTTTTCTTTCCTTGCACAGTCCTTCCACATTATTCAAGCTTCCAAACATTAGTTTCCTTCTTTTTTTGTGGACAACCATAAAATATTGAAAGCAATCTTGTTGGCCTTAAAAACATTTGACTTTTTCGACTTTCATAAAAATTGTAAGAAAACCATGATTAAGAATTTCATCTTTAGGATAACAGTCACTTACAATTTGTTGACTGTAATGCAAGTGCTTTTCAGTAGTTTCACAGACAGGAAAAATAGTTCATGAAAGTAAATGCAAGTTATTGATGCCATAACATAATGATAAAATCATAATAATGCTGGCAACAAATAAATTAAAAGATGAAAAAAGTGTTGAAATGGTCCCCTAACAATTTGCAAGCGGGGTCATTTAATTATCAGAGTTTATAGAAGTGTTAATTTATAACTAGATTCTTTTAATACTGGTTGAAATAGTCTCCAGTGAGAATTATTTTAACCCTCGTTAAAAATAATATGAAGACTAATTTAGCAATTTTATAAACTCTGGGATTAAAATGACCCCATCTAAATAGTCAAGTGACAATTTTTACATTTTACTATAAAAAATTCTAAATTTTAAATAATAATAATAATAATAATAATAATAACTTTAATATACACATTTCTCCGCTAGTCAAAAGATCCTATGTCAATAAGAAACTTGCATGAAGTGCAAAACGACAGAAATATAATATGCATTAATAAAAAGTATTCAGCTATTTTAATAGTAGTATGCAGCAAAGCAGAGATAAAAGCAGTGATGGGTTGACAAAGTTGTTAAAAAAAGTATTTCACAGCTAAGTCAAGAAAGCAGATTTACACACTAATTGAATCTTTTATACGATATTGTTATTCATTGTTGCCAATTTTTCAAATGTTATAAATTTACAATTCTTTGCTGTTGTCACCACTATACCCAATTGAAGTTAGTAGCAGTTAATACCCACATGAACTTGTAATCTATGTACTGCAGATGTTTGAAACCACCGAAATGCTCAGAAACAGCATATCGTTATGTAGCAAAATGTAATTTTCCTGCGATTAAAGTTATAATGTTAAATAAAAATTAAGCGCTAAAAAAGTCCTATGACTGTTTACATGAGCCAATTTAGTCCCAGAATCTATTAAAGTGTCAAATTAGTTCTCAGACTCATCAAATTAGGGCTGAAATAATATTCCACTGAGACTATTTCAATCCATATTAAAAGAGTCTGCGGACTAAATCAATACTTTTATAGACTTCGTGATTAAAATGACCCCCTACAAAAAGTCTGGGGACTGTTTTGACACTTCTTTCAATAGAAATTATAATATTTTTCTTGATCACGAGGATATGAAAAGAACATACCGTATGCTAAAATTCAATTCCGTCTAACTTGGTTGGTGGAAAGCTCAGGAAGAACCCATCTACGTCCAGCTACTTCTACCATGCTCAAATGTGGAATGTTGAGAATATACATCAGACTTGCTCTCCTTAAAGTTTGCAGGCTTTGTTTTTTTCCTAGATAATCCTGTGTCACTAAAACTTCCATCAGAAATATGTTCATGCGCATCAGAAAATTCCTTTGTCCATGAATGCAAAGGTATAAAATACGAATCATCCTTTGCTTTCCTCTTTCTAATTTCATGCTTTTTTACGCTTTCGGAGATATGATGGAGCGATTCGTTTAACCTTGCAATACCCCGTTCCACTGGTTCGACCACATGTGAAACAGTAAACTTCACATCATCGACCATCTGAGAGTTTAAAAAAATGAAAAATCGCTCAGCTAAATAAAGGAAGATTTACATACATACCACTACAATCCTATGAATTTACATATCTGACACCTTAACTTTAATTTATATATATGTGCCACCTTGCCTATGCATAAAAAAGATGTATATTACATTTTAAAAGTTAAAACAGCGGCATTTCTGATGTAAAAAGACAGATCCAAGTTATATACAAAAAGTAGAGTTCAGGTGTTAGATATTTAAATACATACGAACTTGGCACTATGTAAACATTTTTTTAAGGGTCATAGAGAATATGAATCAAGAAACCCACAATTTCGCTGCCTCCAAGAACAACATCGCGAACACTCTGGGGGAAACTCAGCCGCTTTTGATTTTCATCAGACTGAGAAATGTGCATCCTTGCTAACCTTCCACCTTCTGCAACTTCATCCGGATCAGGAGGAGCTCCCAAAGACGCATAATCGGCCAAAATAGAAACATTGCGGACACACCTCTCCCCACATTGATATGGCTTTGCGGGGAAAACGTATAGATGCACAATAGCAGCGATCCCCATCTAACATTTAGAAATCAAAAAAATAATAATGTAATATAATAATTATAATAAAGCTAGCAATTGCACAAAAGAAAAGGAAGATGCAGATTATAACTTAAAAAATATGCCAAAGAGGATGAAGATAAGAGAACCTATTTATTCTAATTGAGAAAACTGTCAAAATAATCAAACCCTTTTTAGGGGGTCATTTTAGTCCCAAAGTCTATAGTGTCAATTAAGCCCCCAAACTTTTTTAATATGAGCTGAAATAATCTCCTCAGAGAACCATTTGACACTTTTGTAGACTCTGAAAATAAAATGACCCCATATAAACAATCAGAGGACTATTTTGTCACATTATTCTAATCCCTAATTAAAAGTTCCAATGAGGATCTCCTTTTTGAGTGAGCAAAACTAGTAGAAAACTTAGTTAAAAACAATGTTAAGGTGTGATGACATGGGCCAAAGGAATTCAAACAAAAGGTTTTACCTTGGCACCCCAACACGCACATATTGACGATGACATGCAAATAGTATTTTGAAAGCATGAAAAGCAATGCAATAAGCAAAAGGTTACTTCAACGAGCAAATTGAACTGCAGTTTTACTAATAAGAGCCTTCATGACCTGTATATCTAATAAGCACATTTTGCGTTCATAAAAGTCGTTTAAATAACTAAATTAAATAACATGTAATAATTTTTAGCAAATTATATTAACTTATAGATATTAAAAAAACCAAAAATAGAATCAAAGATATAAATAATGAAGAGATAAAAGAACAGTCATCACACCCATTGTTCACTAAACAGGTTAATAACAAAAGCGACAATAAAAAAAGCACACCTTGCACCAGTACAATGAGACCAACCCTCAAAGGTAGTCATAAGAATTAAGAAGCAATTAAAAATCTATATCAATCATCACACACTTAAAAATTGAGGAAAGCTACACTTTTTTGTACTAATCAATATTTGCTCATTTTCATATTCTTCGGGGACCCATTTATAATCCATAGAGTGCCCAAAATAAGGAACTCCCCAAAATCCTCTAAAATTAAATTAGAAAAAGACCACACCAATTCTCCCAACAAAAAATAGTAGAATTTCTTTTAATCATTTATGCCTTCAAAGGGAACCCCAAAAGAGATGGCAAGCTATAAGCATTGAATATAGAAGTTGAAAATAACACAATAAAGAAAACGAACTTTATTTTCAGAATTGGATCAATCCGCAATTTTCCTTTAGCAAACATTGTTTGATCGAGATTGTAGCAATCAGCAAATTTCAATCAACAGCCACTGAATTCTCAAAATTATAGCACGTGACAAAAGTAGGTAATATAAAAGGAAAACCACTAAAAGGAAAACCACAAAATGAGGAAAACCACAAAATGAAAAAAAAAAAAAACAGTATGGACTCGGAAGGAGAATTAGCAATGGAGATCGCATGAAATCCAGCTGAATAAACCCATATATATGTGCAGTCAAATGAGCAAGCTACCAACCACAAGGAAGACCACAGGCAGTGTGAACAAAAACAATGTTGATTGAATTTGGTTCCTTACAACATTTAAGTAAGCCTAATGGGGAAAAAAAACAATCAGAAAATACAACACATTCTCGATAATATCAAAAGTTGAAAAAAAAAAATATCCCAAACAAATCATAAATTGTTAATTGTTAATTGTTGATCACCCACAAATTGATGGCAAATTGATGTAAGAAAACATGGATCTAATTGGGAGCTTGACACCGTTCCGGAGTTTCTAGAAGGTGTGATAGAACACAACACAACATTATGCAAGTTATAGGATGGGCAATGGGAGTGGAAGAAAGGAAAGCGGCTAAAAATTGGCATGTGTGGTGGCTGGACAGCAAGCCGGAGACAGAAAAACAGTGGTTTCCTGGTGGAAGCAGTTGGTGACTGCGAGTTGGACGGCTGTTGCCTGAAAACAGAATAAGAACGACAAATCAACAAGGCGCAGATGGCGAGGGATCCACCACATGTTCCTAAGCAAGCTACTGACACATCACTTGAAAAAAGAAGAGGCTATAACACTCCGGATAGCAAAATAAGAAGCCTCATATTCATACAATCAGCCAGGAAAAAAAAAAAAAAACTAAAGTTTGAAACAGCCATATGCCAAATATATAAAGGCTCCCAAATAGGAAATAACATATTCAAAAAATAAAGAAAAAGAAACAGAATCAAGAAAGGAATAACAAAAGAACAATTGAAATAAAAAAGGTTTGGTGCGGCACTGTCAATCATGCAATCACGGAAAGCCTGTATCTGTGAGATCAGGAAACCTAATGCAGCATTCGTGCGCATGAAGAACGCGTCCCACATCACTCTACCCACATAAGAGAGGGTTATTACTAATTTCTGGGAGAACTCGAGTCCTCATAATATAGTGACAAGTCAACGACAATAAAAATAACAAAAATATTGTAGCCTCTCGGTAGATTCAATCTTAGACATTGTCATTAGTCTTCTTAGCTATCCTAAATGGGGCATTAGCTCCAGGCTTGAGCATTCCAAATGAACTTGTAAGAAATCACTCCTTTATAATTATTCATACCATGTCGTCCTCCTTAAAAACCATAGTCTTCCTTGACTTATTAGCATGTTTCTGATATTTGGTATTCTGTTGGAGTATTTCCTTTCTGATCTGCTAGTGTAGGAACTGAGTGCCCTTATCTCGATCTTAGGCATCAGTTCTAAGCTCAATAACGAATAGCATTGGGACTAACTCCAAGAGAGTAAGAGGACGCTGCAAGTTCACAATCTCAAAGTGATTGTGACCTGTGGATTGACTAGTTAAACGATTATAGGCAAACTTGACCTAAAGAAGAACCAAGTCCTACTGCTTCATGTGTTTTCCTGCAAAGCATATAAGAAAGCTTACTAAATTGCAGTTTACAACCACAATCAATATATTTGTTTGTGAGTTGTTGAACTAAACTGAGGCTTTGCACCTAACTTACCCCATAAAATACTTCAGAAGTGGCTAAGAAATTTCACATCTCTATCTCATGTAATGCTCCAGGGTATCCATGAATGCGAACTACTTAAAGTATAAGGTTGCAATAAGGGATGCATCCATCATTGTCTTATGGTAAGGAACAAAATGGTCATCTTGAAAAAATGGTCAACCATAAGCATGACAATCCTTGCTCTGTTGAGTCTGGGGTAAGCCCACCATAAACTTCATGCCAACGTCCAACCAGAGTGCCTCTAGAATAGGAAGAGGAGGGTACAAGCATGTAGTTTGCCCTCGAATATTAGCAAATGACATACCCTACGCTGTAGGACATGTCTCTCCACATTTCGTAACAATCTGGTCAATAAAAATTTTCATTTACTAAAGAGAGAGTCTTGCCTCTACCAAAAATGTCTTATCATTCCTCTTTTGTGACACTCGTGCAAAATGTTTCCCTGAAGCAAACTCTGAGGAATACACAATCTATTCTGAAAGAATAGATATCCATCAGATTTGTGATACTTCTCTTACAATCTATCCTGACATCCTATTCAAATGTCTTGGAAATCCGCATAAATTGCATACAAGTCTTTCAACACCTCAAAACCAATGATTTTTTATTGTATCGTAGTGAGTAATAAGTGGCGACAACCCGGGGCATTGACTACTTTGTTCTGGCTCTTTTCTTTACGTTTGCGAGAAAATGGAACGAAGGATAACAAAAATGTGCAAATTCATATTTATCTTTCACTAAGCACTCTGACTGTGCTGCAGGCTGAGACTGCTCAGAAATTTACGGATCAACATACCCCCCAGGGTGAGCTCTCCATCGAAGATCCACCAATTGATCAGATGAGACAAACACTGGCTGATGAATGACAAGTTTTACAAATCTAGGAAGAAGAAAAAAATAATGCTAGAACTAAGAAATTTTCAGAATGATTATTTGATAGTTTCGGGTGGAAGCCAACACCTTAGTTTGTTACTAGACTCCTTCCCTAGAACCAAGGGGAGGGGAAGTGGTAAATCCACCCACCATGATTAAGAGTATTTCATAATTTTTGGGGTATACGCATATTTTAAAGTCTCTTTTTGAGTGAGTTGCATTCTCTGTGAGTAGGCTCTTAGTACTCACTCACTAAAATCTTTGTATCTTCCCTTTTACATCATTGAATTTATTTTTTTTATAATATATATATATATATATTGTATAATCAATATATATAGAAACTAGAGAAAAAGTAAATAATAAAACTAAAACATTCTCTTTCTAAATTAGATCCCCATGTCAACAGATTTATTATATTCCTAAATTACAACTTTCCTAAATTAAAACTTTCCTAAAATAATTTCCTATTTTCCAGCACTCTCCTTCAAGCTGGAGAATTGATATCATCCATTCCTAGCATCAATATAATTATTGAGAAGTCATGAAAATTAAGTCCCTTTGTAAATACCTCTGCAAGTTATTCCTTTGAAGGCTCATAAGGTGTAAAGATTCAATTTGTTGTATAAATTCTCCATTGTAAAATACATATTAATCTTGATGTGATTTGTCATATCATGTTGTACCATATTATGAGCAACATTGATGGCAGACTTGTTGTCACTTGTCACAGTATAGTCTCATAGGTTTTTCCCATTCTATCTTGAAATCTTCAACGATGATCTTCAACCACAGAAGCTCACACACACCGTGAGCCACATAGATGAACTATGCTTCCGCACTTGATCAAGCTATCATATTTTGCTGCTTACTCCAAGTACGCAAATTACCAACTAAGAACGTGCAATAACCAATCTTGGAATTTATATCGGCCAAAAATCTTGTGTAAACTGCATCATTGTAAGCTTTAAAAAATTAGACCCTCACCATTCTTGAATAAAATTTCTTTTCTTGAATTAGCTTTAAGGTAGTGAAGTATTTAGTTTGCAGCTTGTAGGTGATTATCTTTAGGGTTGTGCATGAAGTGCCTTACTACACTCGCATCATGGGCAATTTCAGGCCAAGTGAGTGTCAAATGTATTAACTTCCTA